ATACTTATTCAGATAAGATAGGCTTTCTTCCTTATTTTGTTTGTTCGCAAGTGCAGAAGATAAAGTTTCATCTCCTGGCCTTGATCTTTGTCATGGCTGGATCCTAGATGGTACCTTGCATGTACATGTACATAGGGAGCTGCCGAGATATTCATTTAATTCTTGCTTTCTTGTTTTAGAGGTTTACCCTCCATGAGCTCTCCGGTTAGCTGGGGGGAAGACACACCATGCCAAGCAGGTTATCATATAGCCATTACCTCCTGAAAATAGTTCAACGGTGGCTTTCATTCACAATGGTTCTTGGCCACTCACCTTGTTACATTAGTTAGAACATACACGACAAATTGAGCCGTGACTTTGATGTCAATAAAGAATTCCACATCCAGCACCATAGTACCTTGCTGATTACTTTTCAATAGAGTCCATGGTGACCCCTGAGCAGAGGGACAATTTAATGAGGTCGTTAATATTTCCATAAGACCAGAATCTGATAAATTCTCTTCTGGTAGACACTTTTGCAGAACTAGCGAAAGTGACTGTTCCACACGAAGCATTATCTTTTCTTGTACGACACTGAAAGCTTACATGCTGCTTGACAAATTTGAATTTTAAAAAGTAAGAATGATTGGCACTTGGTAACTTACACAGAAATATAAAGTGGTACAAGAAAATTGCCCATTTCTTTTAGATTTACATTTTATGTATTTTTTTTTCTTTTAAGAAGTGATAAGACATGTAATTTCCATCAACTTCAACCAGTTATGTATGAAAGAGGCTACAAGTTCAGCTCTGTAGAGGAAAAGCAAGTCATGGGGAGAGCTGACATAACCACGAAAAAGCAGACAGCCTTCCCAGCTGCATTTTATTCTTGTTCTAGAGATGGTTATTTGCAGGGTAAGACCAAAATCCTAAGACTGAGATACTACATGACTTGAAAACAATTCTGCTTGCCCTTGCTTCCTGATCTACCAGCCCCAAGATGTCGTTTATCGAATGTCTTCCCAGGTCCATTAAATGTAAGGAGAAAAAGGAAGCAGGTAATGAGGTATAACTAGAGTTTACGGATGAAGACTTCTCTTTGTGTGTTGGGTGCTCCAAAATTTTTGGCATAAGGCAATTATTGTCTGTTCCTCAATTTGGTCAGCTAACATGCACTGACCTACAATCATAAAGCACTCAGCTCTGGGCATTTACCAAGTCAACGTCTCCTCCTTGAGCTTCATTATAATTTCGAAGATGTGTGGCAATAAAGATAATCGGGCCACCAACTAAGAACAAAGATCTCATTTAGGAATCTTGAATTTTTAAACTTTTTTTTTAAAAAGATTTTATTTATTTATCTGAGAGAGAGAGAGAGAGAGAAGGAGGGAGAAGGAGTGAGAAAGAATCTCAAGCAGATTCTCTGCTCAGTGTGGAGCCCGATGAGGTACTCGATCCCATGACCCCTGAGATCATGACCTGAGCTGACACCAAGAGTCAGATGCTCAACCAATGGAGCCACCCAGGTACCCCAGGAATCTAGAATTTTTTTTTTTTTTGATGTTTCAATCTTCAGTCTTTATGTCTTCCATTGTGAACTGCTGACCTCATATTCTAACATATGCATAAATATATATATATATTTAAAGATTTTATTTATTTATTTGACAGAGAGAGATCACAAGTAGGCAGAGAGGCAGGCAGAGAGAGGGGGAGAAGCAGGCTCCCCACTGAGTAGAGAGCCCAATGCGGGGCTCGATCCCAGGACCCTGAGATCATGACCTGAGCTGAAAGCAGAGGCTTTACCCACTGAGCCACCCAGGCACCCCTAAAAATATATATATTGACAAGAACACATATGTCAATTCTTTTCTAGAATTTTCATTGATTCCTTTTGTGGTTTACCAGGTATTCCGGTCATCCCCGTACTTAAGGTTTATACAGTTCTCTCTAGTTCGGACTGCTTCGTGGAAATATAAACAATTACTCCTCTGAAACACACAAACCTTGGTGCTTTGCCTCTAAGTGTGGTTGTGGAGCTACGAAAAGCAATTTTTGACCCTGGTGACTACTGGATTAAGAACCAAGATATTCCAACAGGAGACTTTGATCATAACATTTCTTGTGTTCACTGAGCCAGCAATGACGTTCATTTATTCAGCATTTGTTTCCGGGGGAGAAGGGGGTAAGTCCTGTGAGGGCAAGGGCTGGCTTATCTTGTTCAATGTTGGTATTCGCAGCACTGAGCACGGAGAGTATTAAAAAATGATTGAATGACTTTGTAGATGAGGACACAAACACGCTGAGAATGTGAGTCTCTTCTGAAGGTCCTTTGGGTAGTAAGAAATGGAACTAGAGTTCAAAGTCTGGCTTGAGTCCAAGTGTGCCCTTCTCCCATGACAACCCCTGACGCACACATCGGCTGCTCTCCAGGCGCCCGGGCTGTTTCCGGGCTGCAGGTCACACCCTTTTCCGGGCAAGTGGTAAGCAGTATCGTGGTAGAGCAGACATCCACGGATGCCATCAGAGCCCCATTGGAGGGAACCTCCAAAGAATCTCACCTTGACTTTGATTTTTTTTTTCAGTGGGATTCCCCCACCTTCAAGGTCCTGAAATATATTCCAGGTTATGCTACAGATGAGGCATAGATATAACCCACAGTCTCATAAGCCGAAGAACCAGGCCCAAACTGGGACAATGGTCCTTCCAGACGTCTGCCTGTGTTCACCCCTAGGGGAAGCCCCCCTCTCCTTGCTCTTGATCGGCTGAAAACAGAGTGAGCCTCTGCATCTGTGGTAGGCGGACAAAGGGCCTCAGTTATAAACCAAAATGCAAGGTAATAGCAAGAGAGACTTAACACCTACACTCACACTTGGAGTTACAAGGTGTTAATGAGCAAGATAAACCAAAGAATGCAACCCGGCTGCCTGGGTTGGCTGTGGGTGCCGAATAATGGAAACCTCAGGTTCTGAGACTATGAATCAGGAGGGTTTCCTGTATTATGAATGATGTCATCTCGTAAGATGAGAGACTTGCCGTGAAACGCAGGAACATTCAGGATAATGTGTTTGCAGCAAGCAGGATCTTGAATTTATTGCCGAGGGGAGTATGTGAGCTGACCAAAATGGAGAATGATGAGAAGTAACTAAATTATGTATGACAGTCTTTACAGAGCAGAGGAAGGAAGAAAGCTTAATGATGTTGTGCTTGAAGGACCAGCAGCAACTGGTGATGTATTGGCTGGAGGTTGGTAAGAAGAGAAATGGATCTATGAAGACTCAAAGACTATAGATGAGTGTGACAAAGACCAAGCAGCGATTTGGAAGGGGGAGGGGAAACCAAGGGCTCCATATACAATACGTTTTAGTGGCAATAAGCCAGCCAAGTAAAGTTAACTTGACATTAAAAATCATCATCTTAATCTACGTAGCTCTTTCAAGCCTAACTCTTACCAAAGCAAAAATAATAAATAAATAAATAAATAAAATAAAAATAAAAAAAATCTATAGTTAATGATGAAGTCTTTTTCTCTTTGCTTTCCCGGCATCCACAAAACGCAGTACATAATTTAATTATTGACTCTACAGGCTGGACCATGGAGACGAAGAGTGATGTGTCTGTGGTGGTGAGAAATTAGATAGAACCAACTGTTTATTCTCATCATTCTTTCCCCATTAGGCTAAATGAATATAGTTAACAAGCTTTTGTTTGGATTAGTGGCTCAGATCTGGGATGTGCCGATCAGAACCCCTGATTATTACAGTAGCTATTATTTATGGAGTGCTGACGGTGTCTTCAAGCCCTGTGTGTGACACAGAAAAGGTTCTTTTGTCATTCTCTATTCGGGAACCCATGTTCCGCCAGGACAAGGGGCTATAGGTTTCAATAGAATAATGAAGTTCGAGAAAATCTTATTTACTTCCTAGGGGTCTATGGCTTCAGAAATCTCCCTGATGGCCTTTCCTATTGACCTGCGCCCCCTTTCTCTGATTTTTTGTGTGTGTGTGTGCGTGTTTTTGTTTTTTTTTTTTTTTTTTTTTGTAATCAATTGTAACTGTGCGAAATTTTACACCCGGCCAACCCACTGGGGTAAGGCTGAGAGGTGTGTACACCGTGCTGGGGTTACGAAGGGGTAGCAAGCTTCAGCGCACAACTCTGGCCCTTCCACACCGTTTGAGTGGAAACTAAGCGGGCCATGCAAAGCACAAAATGCAAATGTAACTTCGAGACATTTGTGCCTCTAGGCCTAGCGTCCGGCCCTACCCCTAGTGCAGGAAACTGTGCCGCTTTCCCCATCCCCATTCCCTAGGACGCAGGGACACCGGAGGCCCATTCCAGAGCCCAAACTCGTCTCCTCGCGTCCTGCCCGGTCCAGCTTCGCGGCACTAGACTCCTTCAGGTCGTCTTTTAGTTACTTCCAGAGAACAGAGATTTACAGAGAGAGCGTTAAGGGGTCGGCAGATCCGGGGTGAGGGGTGAGGGTCGGGGTGAATGGTGGTAGAAAGAAACTCCCCACCAACAACGAAAAGCACCCAACCCTCGGATTCACAGATCTGAAAAATGCAACGATGATCAAGTCAGAGCCCTGGGAGCCGCCACGAGCATCCCCCGCGGGGCCCAGGCTGGGGACCACGAACGCGGGCAGAGGCTCGGGGAGCCCGGGGCGCCGGCCGGGGGCGGGGGGACCTCCGCGGCGGGGCGGCCTCGGGGGCGGCCTCCAGGGCACCCAGGAGCCGGCGTCCGGCCAGGATCAAATCCCAAACCATCCGCCTCAACAAAGGGAGGCAGCCAGGCCGGGAGGAGTCTTTCGGGCGCTGCTGGTCCTGGGGGTCGCCGGCCTGATCGCGGATCGAGCGAGCTGCGTGCCGGGCACCGGGAGGCAGAGGCGACCTCGCCCGGGAGTTCCCCGCCCGGTGCGCGCCCGCCGGGACCCCCTCCCTCGGGCGCGCGGCCGCTTGGCCAATGTCCCCTTCCGGCCCCGCGGCGGCCCCGCCTCTTCTCCCGACTTCCTTTCCCGGCGCGCGGCGGCGGGGCGGCGGGTGGCGGCCTGCGATCGCCCGCCGGGAGCCGAGGACCAGCCGGGGCCAGCCCTGCGGTGTGGGTACGCGGCGTGCGCGCCACGCGGGGCCGCCCGAGCGCTGGGCGCGGGGGTGCTGGACGCCCGGCTCGCGGCGGGGGCTCGGGGCGGGGAAGCCCGAGGATCCCCCCACCTCCACCCCTCCCGGGGCAACCTCCTGCGGGGCCCGCGGGCGCCGGCTGGGCGGGCCGGATCACTGGAGACTCGCTCCCCCCAGGAAGCCGGGGGAGGGTGGGACCGGCAGGACTTCCTGCGCCCACGTGGAGGCTCGGGTTGCGTGGTTTGGCTCGGGTGGGGTCCGAGAGGGCTGGTGGGCGGGGGGGCCTGGGTTCTGTCCCGGCGGGTTACCCGGTGTGTCCCCCTGGAGTTGCTGCGGCTGGGGTTCGGGGCTCCCCGGAGCGTTAAAGCTGAAGTTGGAGTAACACCTCCCTTTCCCTCTCTGCGTCCCTCCACCTCCTGTTTAGTGGCACGTACCTGGCACCCTACAGGGATTACGGACGCTAACCCTGGAGCGGGTGGTAAAACCTGTGCAGTCCAGCATGGCTGGGTGTTAAGAGGGCTTACAGAGTTTGGGCAGCAGAATCAGTGGATAATCATGGGTCCCAGGAGCGACTTTTTCACGGTCCCCCAGTCTGAGGCACTGACCCGCACAAGCCAAGGGCTAGAGGCTGAAGCCCAAGTGCAAGGAAATTCACACATCCCTTCCGCCCAGATGCTCAAGAATGCTCAGGGATACCCACTCGGTTCTTGGGTTGCCCCCTTCCCTTGTGCTGTTTAGTTTCCCTTGAAAGGACCCCATCCCTTACTGGAAGTTTAAGGGCTGGCCCTGTTGTAGATCAGCTTGTGCCTTGCCCCTTGAGTGAGTAGAGCCCATGGTACTAAAACTCTGCCTCAGTTGTAGCACCCGACAATTTCCATCGTTTCTCCCCATTTGATTCAGTACTCAGCCGGGATGCTCAGGGGTGATAACATCTGTTTTCATCTGGGGAAGCTAAGGGGAAACAAAAGGGACAGATTATCTGGTTAACATCAGAGCTGGGACAGCTCCAATGAAATTTGGCACAGATAATAATCCTGCGGGATTTAGGGGAGTCTGTGCAAGATGGGATGTTACTACCTTTGCTAGGAATGAAGCTTGAGTAAGATGATGTGTATAACCCTTCACAGTGTCTGAAAGATAGCAGATGATCGGTAATCCCTCCCTCCCCCTTGTGCTGGCTCTTATTTCCTAAGGGGGGGAGGTGACGGATGAGAACAATTTGTGGCGCAGGCATTTGTACCAGGTTGACAAAAATCCTATGAGAAAGCAGTTCATAGATGTAATATTTGGGAATGCAGAACTCTACATGCCAAACCCGAACTTCTGGAACAGTAACTTAACTTGATTTTTTTCTTAAGGCGAGACACTGTCTGGGACTCCGTGATCTGTGATTTCTGACGGGATAAATGTCACAGAAATTGTCTGACTTTGCAGCTCCAAACTTGACATGCGGTTGCATTGATCTGGAAAGCCGGGGTACCAAAATGCTTTTCTCGACCGCTGTTTTCTTCTAGACCCAGCATGAGTGAAGTTCCCTGCAAAAAACGTGATGACTATTTGGAGTGGCCTGAGTATTTCATGGCAGTGGCCTTCTTATCGGCACAGAGAAGCAAAGATCCAAATTCACAGGTAAGTGGGTTTTCTAGAATGTTTGGACACACACAGACCGAGATAACCTGGAAATGAACAAATCCCAGCCGGAAGCGGGTCCTTGGCAGCTTAAAGGCAGAGTAAATCTGTCTTTTGTGCTGCATCCCCAGGTGCTTACATTTTCCACAGGCCACCATTCACGGCCTCTTGGACCCCCTCTGGGGTTTGGGGGGTCTGCTTTCTTTGGCTTGTGAGAGCCGCCACCGAAAGCAAGCTAGGGGGTAGAGAACCTTTCATACGCCTCCGGAAGCCGCATGCTCGCTTTGGAGCTCTGCCAGCTTCTGGTTTCATGCACTGCCTGTCCAGGGGCACACCAGCCTCACCAGGTCACCACGCCTTCCGGCACGTTTCCCTGTAGGTTGGAGCCTGCATCGTGAATGCGGAAAACAAGATCGTGGGCATCGGGTATAACGGAATGCCAAACGGGTGCAGTGACGACCTGCTGCCTTGGAGGAGGACAGCGGAGAGCAGGCTGGACACCAAGTACCCTTACGGTAGGGCCTGGGCTGTGTTTCCTTCTGCTTTCGTGGCTTGGCCTTGCTGGTGCTTAAGTATGCTCTCTTTTTAGTCATCAACAGCTGGGCAAAAGAAAAATCCTATTCAACTACCTTAGCTCACTGCCCCCTACCCTTTATGCTTCAGAGAGGGTCTGTGAATGGAAAACAAGTGAGTGGTCACGCAGCCTGGCCCAGAGCTCCAGGGGTCCACCGAGCTCTACAACCCCCGCGTGTGGATGGCGGACGTCTCTGCGGAGGGCCCCAGCCCCTGGCTGGGGCGGGGGTGGGGTATGTCAGAGGATGTGTGGGGTGGCTCCGCAGGTTGTTTCTTGGCTACCCAGAAGCAAAGCCAGGTAACCGAGGACTGGCCAGGGCTTCGCTCTGATGAGAAGCAGGGTTCCTTCAGCCCCCCTCCGGCCTACAGAGGAAATCTCAACTCATCTCTGAGAAGGAGGAAATGACTGTGGGCTGTGATGTGGGAAACAAAGGCAGAAGAGAAGTTAGTAAATTTCCTTAGGACTTACAGCCCCTGATGAGTCCTTGAAACAGGCGGAGTGACCTTCCTCTAGAGACTCAGCTGCCTCTGTGATAATACTTTGCTAAGGGGCACAGGCAATCCTAGCCCAACCCCAGGATCCTGTAAGTCTACTTTAACATATAAAAATTCCTTTGGAAATTTCCTTTATCTCTACCCCCCCCCCCCCAAGGTACATGTTGGCAATTGTCCCCCAGGCATATGAGCCTTTGATATACATCTGAAGGGTCTCATGACTAGGGTTTTATTAGACAGCAATACATGACCTTTTCCTAACAACGGCTAGCCCGCTCAAGCTCCTGGGAACCTTGCTTCCAAAATTCCTTAGAGACTACTGATGCTATCCCTAATCCCTTCCCAATTTGAAAATACATAATGGGCCACTCCTCTTGACCCCATGGCAGCTTTTTCTGCTCACGGGTCCTATCCCCGTGCCTTAACCTTTTTGCGCCGAAGACCTCCTAAGAATTTTTTCTTGGCCAATAGCTTCGAACCCTGACGTCTTTCCTCCATCAAGCCGGACATCAGGAAATGGATGGTTTGGCATCTTCTTCGTGTTCTGGAGGCCGGGCTCTATATTCCCAAGGCGCCTGGTAGTCAGACCCCAAGCCAGATGCGTGGAACCGAAAACCTTTGGCCTGGCCAGCTCTGGGGTCCACCTTTGAACTAGGGAAGGGTGCTTCCTGTAACTTGTTGAGTATCTGAGCCCCAAGAAGAACCACTTCAGAGATCGGGAGGGACAAGCCACAGCCTCGCTTCACTTTAATTCCCTGGAGAAAATGCATCCAGTGTTCTAAAAGAGGGAAATGGGGCTGCTTACGGTGGTTGTAGATTTTTCATAACACGAGGACCTGTGTTTCTGTCTGGAGATGAACCGAGTGCCTCTGTTGGGAGTAAAGTAGACGAAGCCCATGCAAATGGGCAAGATTGGGCCTTTAGGAAACAAGGGTCGAGGAGTGATGTAAGGTCTTTCTGCTTTGTTGACTTTTCTGTAGTAGGCTGGCCTCTGGGTTTTCTCTAGAAGAATTCCAAGTCTATACTTAGCCAAATATATATATGTTTACTAATGTTCCTGGACCTTAATCATGTTAAATAAGCCCCTTGAGTTTCTTTTTAGATTGCTTAGGGCAACCGCTCCATTTTCTAAAGAAAAAGAAAGACTGCCTGGTGGGGGGGAGGGAACTGAGGATTGGGGGTGGCGTGGGGGTGCGGGGCTGCCCAGAGCTCTGAGTTTTCCAGGAATGAAACATAGTTCAGTGATTAGGGGGATTTGATCGTCAGTTTTGTCCTTTTAACTCCAGCCCTGGCAGAAGTTCGAACCGTCTTCTCAGCCTTAGCGTTGTAGCTGAGTGCGGCTCCTGAAATGAATAACGTGCTAACGTATTTAGAAACTTTCATGTCATCCTGATTGTGATTCTGTAAGCTTTCCATGGTAAGGAGGAAGGGAAACGGTCTGTTGTTCACAGGTACACGGTTTTGCACAGTGCAGTTCAATGTCCCACGTAGAAACCGTGAGAATGAAAAGTTCAATGTGTTTCTGGTCTACACTGAGACGAAGGACAACCACGGTGTTTTTCACCCAGTCCACACGGTGAACCCTGGGGTCTCCTGCTGAAGGAAGGAGTCTGTAGGTGTCAGTCTTGTAAAAAGCGGAGGCTTCTTGTAAAAAGATTTCAGTGTTTGGACTGGCGTAGACGGTCCTCCTTGGTTCCTCAGCGGCTCTCCAGGTGGGACCTGTCCCTTCTTCTTCGGTCACTGTGAGCCCTGGGCAGATCCATGGCAGTGACCTAGAGGCCAAAGGCTTTGCCGCCTACTGGCGACCCCTGACTTGGTGGTGTTCTCCAGTAGCTGATCGTGTTTGTCCTTAGATACTGCCTTTCCTCAGCTTGGAGGCAAATACCTTACAGAGCTCCTTTCCAAAAGGAATTAACAAAACCAAACCAAACCCATGGAGGCATTTGTCCAACTTCAATGTTTTGTTTTTTTTTTTTAATTGAGTAGTTGCTGAGTTTCAGGACACTGGTTGTCTGCATTATTTTGTATTTTCCATATGCTCCCTCTCGGTTTTCAGAGCTCTTTTCCCTTGCTCGCCCATTATCCATTTTACATGTGGCTGTGCTAGAATGTAGACAATTTCTTTCACTAGAGTAGATTTGTCCTTTGATGTACCATAAAAGTCATAGACGGTATTAAATGCTTTCTAAAAGGCATTTAGTGTTACTACCCTCATAAGACACGTAAAGATGGGCTTTAAGTCTAAATAATGATGACTAGTTTTAAACTGTATGCTCAGTCTTGTTTTATCAAGGGATTTCGGGCCACAGAGAAGCACATTTGGATCTCCTTGGAGGTGGTGATAGAAATGTGTGGTGATAATTGGCCAAAATGCAAGTTTTTCGTTTTTGTTTTTTTTTTTAACTTCCATGTTAAGATTAAATTAATCTGAAAGATCAGCGATAATGTCTGGGATTGGGTGGGCTTGACTTGAACCCTTTCTTTCCTCACTGACATTATCGGCAGCCGAGCTGCTGAGGGAGGATAGATGATGTGCTAATCCCTGTAAAGGAGCATTAGGGATCATCCAGAGTTCTAGACCAGCCATGTCTTTGTTCTTCGGAATACATGAGGATCCTCTCTCAAATGTCAACAACACTTCCCAGACCCCAGTATGATGCTAGTTAAACTCCCCCTATCTTTCTTGGAGATGTAATTGACATGTAGCATTTTATTAGATTTCGAGTGTTATAATGTAATGACTGGTTATTTGTATACATGGCAAAATGATGGCCATAAGAAGTCCAGTCAACATGGATCACCTTATGTCATTACAAAAAATTTGTGTGTGTGTGTGTGTGTGTGTGTGTGTGCGCGATGAGAACTTTGAAGATCTGCTTTCCTAGCAACCTTCAAATATGCAATACAGTTTTCCTCACTGCAGTCACCAGGCTGTATGTCACACTCCCCAGGACTTGTTGATTTTATACCTGGAAGTTTGTACCTTTTGCTCCCCTTCACTCGTGTCATCCGCTCCTACCCCCCACCCCACCTCTTGCAACCACCACTCTGTTCTCTGCATCAGTGAGCTTTTTTTTCTTTTAAGATTCCATATATAAGTGAGAACATTAGCTTCGCTTCTCTTCTCTTCTCTTCTCTTCTCTTCTGAGAGAGAGAGAGCACCTGTTGGGGGAGAGGGAGAGAAAAAATCTGAAGCAGGCTCCACACCCAGCATGGAGCCCCATGTGGGGCTTGATCTAATGACCCTGAGGTCATGATCTGAGGCAAATTCAAGAGTCTGAGGCCTCACTGACTGAGCCACTCAGGGGCCCCCATTGGCATATTTTGAGTAAGACAATCTATGGTTGATAAAATCTCCTCGATGCCAGTAACCCTTTGCATCACTCTGAGTTTTATGAACCAGCATTGGTGTTTGGAGAAGGCGTATGATGTTCCCGCAATCTGGGGATCCTGCTTGGACCCCTTGCAGAACCGTAGTAGTACCTTGGGGTCCTGTGCCCACAGGGTCTGAGCCTGCCCATTTTTATGGATGGGAAAAGAAAGGCCCAGAAATGTGATGTATCCTTCTTAATGCGACGCAAGCAGGGAGACATCTCCAAACTCTGAGATCGGTGCCTTCCGCTACCCAACTTCCTCCCCCATGGGGCCGGGGAATTCAGCTTTTCTGAAAGGCTGCTTGGGTCGTAGCACAGTGGAGCACCCGTTCTCTCCCCTTTGCACCGTGCCCTTGAGCATGCAGAGGCTTAGGCGAAGTAACCCCCCCACCCCGAACTAGGGGGCTTGCATGGGGTGCCCTCACTTCCCACGGGGCGGCGTGCACGGGGCTTGCTTCAGCCCTTCCCCAACGTGGAGCTTGGGAGCCACTAAGTTTGGGTTTACCAGCAGCATATACAACTTAATTCTCCTTATTGATTCTGTTAAGTTAAGCGTCATTAGTCTTGATCGACACTTTGCGGAGAGGAGGGAAGCTTGGAACACTTGTAACATAGTAGGAAGATGGAGCTTCTTCTGGGCTGTGTCTCTGGAGACGCATTTTTTAAAGGGTGTTTTTGTTCTTCCAACCTTGGGATCAAAACTTCATGAAACTATTTGATTATAATGTAGTATGAGTATGGAAAATGAAAATTCCCCCTGCCACAGACACTGCCTTTTATCTCATTCTTTTCCTGAAAAATCCAAAAGCTAGGGTGCTGTCAGTAACATGAAGTGGCAGGAAGAAGTCAGCGTTAAAAGTGACACCCTTTCACGTGAGTGACAATTAAAAAACTGGGAAGCAGCAGATTGATCTAATTTAACTGTATGAAAAAGCTTTGGAAGATTTTTATTTTTAGGAGGGAGTGGTTGCAAACCCGGGATGAAGTATTCAGCTGACATATTGAGTTCCTTTCTCTTTGTAAAACTCATTAGAACGAAGCACATTTAATCAAAATACCAATTTTATAAAACA